TTGATGAATATGATAAAAGAATTCAGTGAATTTAAAGAACACACAAACAAGGTAATCATAGAGCTGAAGGAAAATAGGGATAAACTTCTGAATGAATTCAGAAACGAGCTGGAAATATTGAAGAATACTCAGGCTGAAATGCATAAGGAGGTGAAACACTCAGTAAACCAATTAGAAACGACAGGAGAAAGCCTCACCAATAGGATGAATGAAATGCAAAACAGAGTATCAAGACTGGAAGATAAAGTGGATGAACTAGACCACTCAAGCAAAGATTATGCAAAATTTAAGAAACCACAAGAATGGAATATCAGGAATTGTGTGACACCATAAAAAGACCAAACTTATGAATCATAGGCATACAGGAAGGAGAAGAATCCCAAGATAATGGCATGGACCAGATCTTCAACTGAATCGTGGAAGAAAAATTCCCAAAACTAAAGAAAGACATGCCCATACAAATACAAGAACCATATAGAACACCAAACAGACAGGACCAGAAAAGAAACTCTCCACGGCACAGCATAGTAAAAACACTAAATGTACAAAATAAAGAGACAATACTGAAAGCTGCAAAAGAGAAACAACAAGTCACATATAAAGGAAAACCCATTAGGATTACAGCTGACTTTTCAGTGCAAACTATGAAAGCCAGAAGAGCCTGGACCAAAGCATTCCCAGTTTTAAATGACCACAGATGCCAACCCAGATTACTATACACAGCCAAAATGTCTATTATAGGCGAAGGGGAAAGAAAAATCTTCCATGACATAAATAAGATGAAGGAATGTATGTCCCTAAAACCAGCCCTTCAGAGAGTTCTGGAAGCAATACAAAGAGCTGAAGAAAAGAATGACTATACCCAAGGGGTTGTGGAAAGAAATTCAGTGAAGGTATAACTGTGGAAAAGTACAGCTATATCATGAATGTAAACAGAAATAAAAATGACAGAATTCAATACTCATCACTCATTAATAAATTTAAATATTAACAGTCTGAACTCCCCAGACACAGGCTAGGTGAATGGATTAGGAAACAAAACCCATCTTTTTGTTGTCTGCAAGAAACTCATCTCACTTTCAAGGACAGACACTATCTTAAAGTGAAAGGATGGAAAAAAATATACCAAGCAAATGGCACTAAGAAAAAAGAAGGCGTAGCAATTCTAATATCTGACAAAATGGCTTATAAACTAAAACTAATCAGAAGAGATAAAGAGGGCCACTTCATTCTGATCAAAGGAACAATAAACCAAGAAGATATTACAATCATGAACATATATTCACCAAATTCTGGTGCACCCAACTTCCT